TCACCCGCCTGTAGCGTTTCTTCACCGAGTCCTTCGTACTCTGTTGGGAACCTCGATTTCCTGAAATAAATCGAAAACAGACAAGGGGTAAACACATTGTTCGCAGCCAATACTGTTTCCTGAATAGTTCTCACTAACTTGAAGGTTTACAATTCTACTCTATCGAGTAAATTCGCATGATCGATCCGGACGACATTCCATGCCTATACAGACGGATCACTTTGCCGGAGGTTTCTTGTGCTCATAGCCTGGTCTTACGGACGGACCTCAAGTTGACTGGAAATGCTTCTATGAAGTCGTTAAAGCATACAGTTGGTCCGATTGGCGGTCTCATCCTTACTCTACCAGCTTGATAGAAAGATTGAGTAAAAGTAGTGAAAACCGTCGAAAGTTTTATCATCTACTGTGACTGAGCAGATATCCCCAACAGGGAAATACGGTGTGTTCATGCTTATCCTCCGAAGGATTTCATATCTGTATCTTCTTAACCAGTCGCTACGCTGCGTACTAAATTTCCACAAAGGGTGTCAGCGGCACCTTAACGGCATATAAGTGGTTTGGAATCATAATGCACGAACAACGACCTGGCGAACGCATGGTGAAAAACTCAACTTAGTACGCAGTTGGAGGGAACACGGTCCCGAATGTGATATCAAAGAAAGCATGCCCTTAATACCCACGAAGATACGGATTTTTTTCTTCTGCGATAGTAGGCCTAAATCGAGCATATAAATTTTGGTGGCTTGACAGGTCACAGGGAATCGCGGTGGAGGGAGTCAAAAGCACAAGCAAAGTTAACACTTTGTGACTCCCAAAATAGCCTGTAGTTTGTAACATCATCGCGTGTACCGCATATGGCGCGCGTCGCAGTCAGTGTTAGAGACGATTGAGAGTAGAATTTTAGAATAGGCCAATCAGATCGAGGGTCAGTTAGATGACTGTCATTCAGAGGGGTAATGCCCTGGCAAACGACAACAAAAAGCATGAGAATTTATGATAGCAAAGACGCAGGGTCAACACCCGAGGAACCAGTCACTTGCACTTAATGTCGGCAAGCAATATACAAAATTGTAGACAAGTAAGCAAGCCTGGTGGTTTACTGAACAAAAGCACGTTCGCGAACAATATTCCTCAAAGCAAATGGTTTGAATTACATGACCAACAACGAAAAGGGAGAAGGAACTGCCATTTCCAGCTTATGGGTCATCGTCAGCAATCCATACTCGACTCCAAGTTTTGCGGCACCTGAGCCTCGAACCCGTGACCTGTTGGTTAGATAACGTATAATAAGCCAGAAAAGGCCATTCCAGTCTCCCTTGCATTCTTATTAAGGAGGTTTGGTAGATTTGGTTAATTCAATTGTGAAAAAACTCGGGCAATTCGGTGGGATTCGAACCAGCATAGGAGGGAAGGCCTTCTACGCAAGCCAAAGCTCTACCTACTTGAGCTACGAATGCCACGTTTCACACCGTGAGTTTAATTACACTTGGATCGATAGTACCCACCCAACTTTGCCGCTCGTATGGCATCCACCAATACGAGACAGCAAGTTGACTGCCAAGAAGGATTTCCTAAGCAATCATCTAGAATCCACCAGAAGGACTAGTAGGCTGACTTCGTCAGTAATGTTATTCTGCTGGTGTATGGCTGCTGGCGGGACTCGAGCGTGAACCACAAGACACAACGGAATGAGGGTGTTACGTAACGCAATCGATGAGCATCTCTTTATTGTCATGATGAAATAGTCCGCTTTAGAGAACTTGCGGTGTTTAGTCATCCGCATAACAGTGTGGAAAAAAAGGCTTCTGGGATTCTAAGACATCTAAGGGAAATTAATCAAATTCGGTGGGCTAAAACAGAAGGCAGGAACGAGGGTAGATGTACCGGAAACAGCGCTGTTCTCGTTCGAAGTTTGACCTGCTTCGGCATTGGCAGCAGTATTTTCTGCAGATGAAGCGAACTTTTCTGTAATGAAGAGAAGCCACAGAGCACGAATTAGTCCAGACAAGATACAAAAGGTCAATTTTTTATCAGAGGTATGAGGGAATTCGTGTTAAACCGAATTCCCAGTTACAGAAAACACCTAGTCATTGCCCTATAAGTCTACATAGGGTAGTGAGACGCAAAAAAAGTTTAAATGCATGAATGCGATGACAGAAAGGTACAGCTGAGTTGCACGGACAGCAGAACATACAATCGGAGCTGACTAACGCGGCTCCGTCTCCTAGTTACTGTTGAACGGGCTTACAAACTTCGCATTTTCAAAAATCCGCAATATCCACTAGCCAATGGTCTCTACGTAACTGCTTAGAGCAAAGTAAAACGTTTCACATCTACTTCCGTCTGTGTATTAGTGGTTCGTATTTTAATACAGCTCAGACTGTCAATTAGACCTATTATTTGCAGGACAAAAAATTGAATATTCAACCTCGTAGGAGAACTGGTGACTAGCTACTAACTCGGTTGGCATAACATTTAATGGCAGTTCTAGAGGTTGGTGGTTAGAATGCGTCCTATAGGATTTGTTATCCTCAAACAGTCCGCGACGTCCAAAGGAAAGTACTTGTTAATTGAGTTGGCTACTACAGCTAAAAGTTCACAAAAAGACAAGTCGGTCGGCCGGACGGACGGGCGGTGGAGACCAGGTAGTTACTCAACTGGAGCAAATTATTATAAAAACATTTACCATGTAGCGCAGCACTTACCAGCATTCGCTGCCTCTGCCTGTTGGCTTCGACTTGGTCCATTTGCGTTATTTTGACCACCAGCCTGTCTGAAGGCTAGACCGGGAATCTTGACAGTAACACGACTCAGATCAATCTCCTTTCCATGGCTATTTTGGACGTAGTCCTGTGGGGGATCAAGGGAGAAAAACGTTGTGGTGAGGAACAGGAGGACTACTGTCAAGTGCTGGGCAATGAATTCGCTAAGTGGGAGAGTTACGTATCATATGAAGGGCGTTCACCGGACAGGCTAGCAGATA